TTACATTTTCATATTTCTAATTTTCTAATTACAACGTCATAATTTCATCTCTTGTACTTTTCATCAAATTTCTTGATTTTAATGTTTAAATTATAATTCAATTTTTGATATTTCGTAAAACCAGGCTCTGATGATGACTGTATGTCGAAACAACGTTGTAAGCCTAGGATGACACATAATGGTAATAAATAAATAAATATATATATATATATATATATATATATATATATAATTCTATTGTTACTACTACTACTAATACTAGTAGTACTAAATTCAACCCTTAACATTTTCGACCCCAACGAAACGTCAAAGGACTCAAAGCCCCACTTTACATGACAGCTTTCCACTGAACTATTAAGTTTAGTGGATACATCCATACATCAACGCATATCGAAGTATGCAGTACTGCAGGCATAGCTGCTCTACTATTATATATGCAGTCAAAATGGTCATAAATTTGCTTGTGCAGAATGATGTTTTCGGTTTAAAAGTGAGTAGTAGTAATAATACACACACAAACAAACAAAAAAAACACACAGACACACACACACACATACACCATCAACAAAAATTGAAAATTACCATTTTGCTGGTTGTAGGCAGACGCTAGTTTTTTTTTTCCAATTTTTAAAGGACCTCAAAAAATTAACGATCGCCTCATTATTAACTTTGTATCTATGGTCGCTTCCCATGCATTCATGCATCACGTTTTTTTTCACTATGCGTGTGGACATACAAACCTATACATCAGATGTTCAGCTCACACTAATAAATCATAACAATCACGCCAAACGAAAACTACGCCAGGGCACATAACCACCCCAGGCCACACAACAACCACACTAAGCCACACAACAACCACACTAAGCCACACAACAACCACACCAGGCCACACAACAACCACCTAACTAACAGATGAAAACAAATGAGTGAAAAGACATAAAAGAAGAAACAAATATAGCTAGCTGGAGGAAGCAGTGCAGAAGAAAAAACAACGAACAAATGTACAGATAGATAAAGTGAATGAATAAAAATGAATGAAGGAATGAAATGAATAAATGAAAAAACAGCTAGATAAATGTTAACCTAAATTCCACAGATTTATAACTATAAACAATTAAACTGCTGAAGCAAGCAGAACTAATTTAAGGCAATCAGGCACTCCATGCTGGCAGGCTAGCAAATTATAAAAAGATTGATGGCATTAATTAACTGAAGCAACTTATTTTCTTCTTCATGTGCAGCTAAAAAAAGAAAGCACTAGGGATACACACAGCTTCAACTTGAACCATCAAAAAGACATCAAGTAAAACATTCAAGTAACAATTTAAATAGGATTCGTATATCCAATCCATTTTTACATCTAATTTTAATCATTGTGCGTGCGTGCGTGTGTGGATGTATGTACGTGTGTGTGTGAATGTGCGTTTGTGTGTGTATTTAAAGTTCAAATTTCTTCCCTTCATTCAACCTTCGAAAACGAAAGTGTTTGTAGCGCAGCTCAGCAGACTAGAAATAAAAATTTGAAATAAAAAAATAGAAGCTAGAAATAATAAATTATAGGAACATCTGTACATTCAACGTTCGAAGTGAGCAACGCTAACTTTGACACCGTAAATATTGAATAAAAGAATGAAACCCATTTCCCAATAATTTCGACATTCAACATTTAAATAAGTATTTTGAAAAACGACCTAACAAATGCAAGCATGTCTATATTCAAATGTGATATTTTACTAATTAAGAAACAAGTTAGAACACCGAAAAAAATAGCAGGTGCGCTACAAACGTGCAAGTGATCACGTTACCATCAAGCCAATTGACTGATAAGTAGGCAGGCTTTCGGAGGTCTGGCAACTTTGTACCTTGGGTGATAACGACGACCACACTAAAATGCACATACAACGACGACGACAACTTGAATAGATATCGTATCAATATCTTATAATATCGCCGCTTCATGTCAATGACCTAATGATATCAATGCGTGCAAACGTTTTGTGGTAGATAGATCAAACCCTGGATGAGATGACCTTTCAGACAAGACCTTTCGGACGTGACCTTTCGGACGTGACCTTTCGATCTAACACCTAACCTACCGCTGGATTTCCAATTTCCACAATTTCCAAGCAGTGCAAGCAAACCTGCCATTGCTGATATGAACGTTGTCATAAATAGATGGAATCATTAACATTGATGGCATATTTTCATGGTAGCAAGGCCTTTAAACATCAAAGATAACAATATGATTGCAACAGCCATAATGACAACAAAAATAATAATGACAATGATTGCAGGGGCACATATAGCAAGTTAGCCTTCAGCTTTGATCAGTTGCTGGTTCAATTTTTCAATATGCTATCAGTTACATCGAAAATGGTAAAGGATTACCAAAAAAAGCTTTTTCTTTATAAGATAAAATGAATAGAAAAAATAAGTTAAAAACTTTGTTTTCTATGCAAATAAGTTAAAATACGATACGAAATATTGAAAAATTGAACCAGAAACTGATCAAAGCTGAAAATGCAGTGATATTTCTTAACAATTGTATCTATGACAGTCTTAAACCTAATTTTATATTTATATATGTTTGTGCGTGTGTGCGTGTGCATAGCAAAAATGTACATGCTAAAAAAAATAATTCCCAGGCACGAGAAAATTATTGAGTTAATATTGTCATAGGTTCCATGTTATTGTTCACATATTCGTTCTGTTTCATTTTAATTTTATTCACTGCTCTTTTTCATTTACATTTAAAACGTTTTTAGCTTGTCATTGGCTTTACGTCAGATTTTTAATTTTTTTTTTATCTCTTAATATTAAATTGTAATGTTCACTATCAAGTTGTGAATAGGTTTATACAGACATATATATATATATATATACATATATATATATATATATATATATATATATATATATCGTTGTCATAATTATTTCTGTTGTCGTTATGGCTGTTGCAATCATTTCATTGTTAATGTTATCTTTGATCTTCGGCCTTGCTACCCTGAAAATATGTCATCAATGTTAATGATGACTCCATCTATTTATGACAACGTTCATATCAGCAACGGCAGGTTTCCTTGCACTGTTTGGAAATGAGTTCAGTGGTAGGATAGGTGATAGATCAAAAGGTCATGTCATCCTGGGTTTGATATATATCAATTTGAACACAGAAGATAGTATAGGAATGCCGAAAAAAACTTTTCTGTTCTATCATGCATAAAATAAACAAAAATTTTTGTTTTGAAATAAAAAAAACTTGAAAATGATTTACGATCAACCGCTAGAAAAATCGAAAAGTTAAATTGGAAGTTAACAAACGCCGAATATGCTGTGATTTTCATCAATAATTGCCTTTTTGGCAGTCTTAATCCTATATAAATATACATATATATATATATATATATATAATATATATATATATATCACTTTGTAAAACATCAGATTATGTTCTCTTCATTTGATTTCCATGACCAAGCTAATGAGACTAATGAACGTAAAAAAGATTGAACCAATGATTCGGTGTAACAGCAGTTAAAACAGCAACATTTTACAACATCTGTTATATCATTATACAAACTCGTCAATTTCTAGCAAACATGGATATAATAGAGCGCAGTAAGGAGCGTATATTGAATCTAAAAAAAAGCGCGCTGTATATGCCATGCATCTTTAGAAATATTTACCATCAGTAAATATGAATTTTTAAAAAGGAAAAAAACAAGAAAAACACAAGAGTATAGTAGAATATTAAATTAAGAACCAGATTTCGGACACCATCACAAGCACCGTCATATTTTCAACATAAACTTGTACATCTACTTTTAATTTAGAATGAAGTAAAAAACAAACAAATGAATGAACGAACAAACGAATGAACGAACGAACAAACGAATGAACAAACCATGATGCCTATGTAAGTGCGGTACTCCAGCGTTAACGGCCCTTCTTCACAGACAATGTTGTTGTACGCCGTGAGAAAACATTCAAGGTAGGATGGATGGTAGTTAAGTATTTTGACGAGGTGGCTTATGGGACCTGGAATCTGGACTCCCTGTGTGTGTGTGTTTATGTGTGTATGTATGTGTGTGTATGGATGTGTGTGTGTGAGTGTCTGTGTGTGTGTGTTTATGTGTGTGTTTATGTGTGTGTATGGATGTGTGTGCGTGTGTGGGTGTGTGAGTGTCTGTGTGTGTATGTGTTTATGTGTGTTTTTATGTGTGTGTGTGTGTGTGTGTGCACAGACGTTTGTACAAACATTTGAATGTATGCAGGCAAGTTGCGACTATTTGTTTTTTAATTCAGTCCAAAAAAATTGGATAAAAATTGATCTGGTATGATCTGGTAGGACAAAAACCATGGCGGATAAAATGGTTAATAAAGTGTTGGTTGCATTCCAGGACTGAAAGTGACTTGTAAAAAAAGCAATCTTAGATGAAAAATATAGTAATGAAAAAATTTAATATAAGTAAATTTTTTTAGTTGTTTTTAATATATATTTGCAATGAATTTATTGGATAAATTAATTTGCAAAAAATATTTGCAAATTAATTCATCCAATGGACAATTTTTAATCAGAAAATAAACATAACACTAACATGACCATGGCGGTTACAAAAACTTAAAATAACAACGAAATGTTACTCATCAATTTTTATCTAAATTTTCATTTTATATTTCGTTTTTTACTGACTACCAAAACATTTAACCGTCAGATAATTTAATCTAAAAAAAATTCAAAAAGTTTTAAAAATAAAATAAGAAAAGCTCCCGGGTTGGAAATTGCAAGCTAAAAAATTAAAAAAAAGTCGGAAAGGCGAATTATTTTTAATTATAATTACTAATATAGAAAATTTTATCAAACTTTTTAAAAGTTCAAAATGAAAGTGTATTAATTATAAACTAAGAACAAAATTCGATAGAATTTAATTTTCCTAAAATAACAACTTTTCTACAATTGCAATGCATTAATAACATGCATGGGCATAAGTTTAGGACTAAGGTATATCTGAATGTGTACATGTGTATGTGTTCAATACATATAAACATACACACAAAACAAATGTAAACTTTAATCTTTATTCCCGGCGGAATTAATTTTATTATTCCTCTACTTTTATCATGATATTTTATTATTTTTATTTTTATGCTCATTATTATGCTCATTTTTATTGGAGGAAAGATCTTTATGTTGTTACTCATTCCTGTTACTATTATGTTATACTATGGAAAAAAGTGAAGTAGACTAACATCATAATAGTCGTCGAAACATTGCAACCGATTGAAGACCTCGTCGGTGGCAGTGGTCGAAGGACTGGCGCTTGCAACCATCTCGCTACTGTTGCTACCACTGCTGCTCTTCCATGATCGAATGCATTCCTCGCAACACCAACACGTTCCTTCCATTATGTACGATGATGGAATGATGATTTCAACTGACTGGAAGGTAGACAAGATGGCAAACAGCGACGCAAAAGGATATAATGGTTGATAATTGGAGACAAAACAAAATTATGGACAGAGAGACCAATAAATGGAGTGACGAATAGATAACTGGATTGAAAAACAAAGTGATTGGGTGTTATTTGGTATATATTTGCTGATTGGTTCCAGAAAATGGCTTTCTTTTTTCACAAAATTTTTCAACCAAATGATGATTTGCTGCTTTCTACACACTACAATCGATACTACACTACCTGGGTTTGCAAGAAATTATTTTTATTAGATTTAGACTAATAAATAATATAAAATTATAAAATAATACCATTAAAATAATGTTGTTAAATGATTAAAAAATAAAAAAAACTCTATTCAATTTTAAATTATTAAATATATTCAAATTTTTGCTTAGGATGCATTTTAGCTTTAAGAAGCTTATGTAGTACAACAAGCAATGCACATTTACAAATTTAAAATAAATGAGCGTACATAATAATAATTAAATGAATAAATAAATAGAAAAAAATAATAAAACTTATTAATAATTTTAATTTAAAATTAAATAAATTAACACACCACCACAATGTGGAATGGAACAAAGAAAGCTGAACCTCATTAATTAAACAATAAAGAAGTTTTCATTGAGAATGCATAATATAATATTGCAATAAAAAATCTTTCTTAATTCCTCTTTTTCGTTTTTTGAATGAATAATTACTAATTTAATATTCATTTATTTCCAAAACACAAAAGAAAACCAGTCACACATAAACATAATAAAAACCAGCTGATACTTACTTTATTTGTTTTTTTATAACGCTGCTAACAAAATTTAAACTAAAAAGAAATAAATTAATTAATTTAATTTAAAAACTCTAGGTAAAAGCTTTTAAAAAAACCTGAACTGAATGCTACCTCAGCCAGTAAAGAAAGAAATGGCTAAGGAAGGAAAGGAGTGTGCTTGCTTTTAAAACTTAAGTCTTAAAGTTAAAGCCTTTAAGACTTAAGTTTAAAGGTAATGTAAAGTAAAACAAAGGAATACAAAACTAGCTGGTATTAATTGTATGGTATTATATACAAATGCATACAATACTATACATATCTGCCTGGTATGAATGTATAAAACATACAAACGTTCATTATACAATACAAACGTTCGTACTGCTTTGTATTTCGTCAGCTGATCCGTGCGATTCGTCGCGTCGCACACGCTACACCAAATTTACACAAAGAAAACGCATTGACAACTTTATTTGGTTTAACAAATTTAATTATTAAAACAAATCAACTCACTTTTGAGAATTAAAATACCAAACATTAATTCTAAAACGCAAAAAAGCGACTAAATTCGAAAAAAAAGTTACGTTTCTTACAAAACCTGAAAACAAGTGAATTTATAGTTGGTGACCTATAAATCCTAACCTACATAAGGACCAATAGGAATTGAGAATTTTAACAAAAAAAAATAATAATTCAGCCAATGAGGACTGAGTGAATTAAATAGACCAATGAAAAACTAGATTTTCTAAATATAACTTGGCAGTAAATATTTATATGGTTATAATAATAATAATTAATGCAGTCAGAAAACTAAAATATTTTGCATGCAATTACTAACAATTAATAACCTGAAAATGCAATTTGGTGGGTTAATTGGTATTACTCTAAAAATACGCGAAATCAGCTAAGAAATAATTGTTCGTAATTATGTTTCTCTTCCATGTTTTTTACATGTGTAATTTTGTAACCATTACAATTATCATTTCTTAATTAATTCTAATAGTAGCTATGTGCAGCTCAATGCGTAATATATGTGTGTGTAGCTTCATAACGAATCTACAGTTCTCATATTATTGCATGCATTCACCTTGCTGACAACTCTCGTTTTAAGGTTGGTGAGCTTTCTCTCTCCCTCCCTATTCATGTAAACCTCGGTAGGTTGGTTTGCAGTAAGTTAACGTTTGCTTGCACGGTCAATCACCCTCTAAGTATAGCCGTCTTGCGATTTATAGCCGTATTTTTATTGAACGATTTAAAAAAAATGAACAGGGAAAAGAAAAATATTAACTAAGTGCAAGCAAACGCCTTTTCAAAACGTTTTAGGAGATTATTCTTACTGCTTCAAAATTTCTTTAAAGTATGGATTTGTACACCAGTTAACAGTTTGTTGGTATCGACCATATCTCACAACTTCATATGTGTGTGATGACATCCATGACATTTTATATTGTAGTGTTCTTTGCATTAAATGATTTGTTTGTTAGAGGTAAGTTTAGGATGGACGTCACGTATTCATTCATGTTTCATACAAAGCACCTTATATGATGGCATATGAACAGTGGCAGGTTCAAAATTTTAATGTTGATTACCCTTTTTGCTAATTTCGGCTTATTCTTGGTTAATATAAACAATACGATTGCACTTAGGAATTGAAATATACTCCTAATAAGCGATCACCTGGAAGCGATTTACTTCATTATATTGTATGTATTAGCTCTCCTCGATCTTTCCATCAGATATACTATTTGTTTGGTTCATTCCGCCTGCGTTATAAATGTACGTACGTGTGACGTGAATGATTTTCTGTTTTTGGAAAATAATTTATTTTAAATCGAAAATAATTTCCAACGGCCAACCCAATAGACTTATTTTCATTTGGATAATCTCATTACTGACTTAAGGAACTATCAATCTATCTAAGTTTTATTTAATAAATACCATTTAGCAAGGTTTTAATTAATCAACAAATTCAAAAATTTCATTATCACATTAAAAAAGTTCCTTTTTTTAATGACAAATACATTTTAAAGTCTTTTAATCTTTTTTGCCTTGATTTCTAAAATGATTTTGTTTTTTTTTTTTTCACTCAACCCGTATAACTCAAAGTCTTTCTGTAAGAGATTCGTTTAATTCTTTCTAATGGTAAACCTATGGCTAAAAAATATTTTGTGTTTCGATGCCTTTATGAATCATTTTATGAAAAGGATAGACAGAATGAAACAAGTTATTTTGAACCAACAAAATAATTTAATTTCTTATTTAAAATTTATAAATATTTAATTATTGTGAGCCGTCTGGCCTGCATGCCTTCTCACGAAATTTGACCAGCTTTGATCTTCTTTACCTTTTCCAAAAAGTTTTGAGGCCTATCTTCCCATTTGAATTATTTTAAGTAGGTAACAACTGCGAAAGTTTTTTACTTGCTTACATTTTTTTTGTTTTTGGCAAGTTTTTCAAATATTTTTTAGATCACGTATGAGAACTTTGGTTTTCTGTAGTCTATAATCATTTTTGCTATTTGTGTATCCTTTTACAGACCATTTAAACTTGGTATAATTAATAACTTTCGTGGCTAATGTTATCAAATCGTGATATAATCATTTTGTTTGTGAATTTAGCAGACGGTTTGTGATGTTGTCTGGTTTGCCGCTGGAGCCATCAAGGCGATACTAAACAATGAAATCAACGAAAGACTTTGCTTCACTACCGTCTTAACCAGCTCAATAATCGATTAATTGACTCAAGTAACTGTTTGAAACGTACAGACACACACACTCACACACATGATATGTTAAATTTCGCATCGATAAATATGTTTGAACAAAAGATATGTTTGATCAAAAGAAACAAAAAAATGTAGGTACATTTCCCACCTGAACCCTTCATTCGATCCAGATGAATGTTTCACTAAATTTGAAGAGCTCTGCTGTTCCGCTGTTCGTATTGTGTACGTCTTTATTTTGTAACTAAATCTCATTTGATTATTAGATTTTCACCTAGTAAGCCAAGATCGAACGATAAAATTTGTTTGATCTCCAGAAATAATTTACTGATTACATAAAGAAGGGTTCAAGTATGCAAATTGTTTTCTAAGGTTTGTTAATATTCTCGAACACTAAATAATAATTAGTCCAATTTCCTATATTTTTCAAAAATTTATACGAATCATTTTTTTTGTAACATTTTCGTTGTCCTTAATTGCCTTCAACGTTCAAAATTTCAAACTTACCTGTCAGTAATTTGGGCCGATGTCCAGTTGGTTTCGATAGAAAACCACCCAACTAAATGTTTCGATATAAAATAGACTCAGATTATTTGATTGTATAAATTTGGTGGTACTTTTTTTATGTCTATTAAACTAATTTGGTTGACTAATTCAGAATAGATGATATTTGAGTTTAACAAATGAACTATGGTATTTGCCCAATTTATTTTGTGCTCAAATCTCAGCTGTAGTAATGTCATTGTCATTTGCTCATTGATACAGCTTGTACTGACAAACAAATATATATTTCATAAAAAACCACCTCTGAGTAAAGTTCGTTTCTCTTTTATTTTTCCTATACAGTTTTATGAACTTTGAAATAATTTCGCGAAATAAAAAGTTCATTTAACGAAGTTTCACCTGTGCCGAGAATTTTTTAGATTGTGGAATAAATAACTGATCTGTGTACTTTATTGTATGAAAATTCTGTCATTCATGTAACAGTCAAATAAAAACAAGCACAACAAAACATACAACCAAGAAAGTACTGACATACGTGTATAAAAACGCCATACAACTTTTTCTCCGCACACGCTTCAACACACCACACACATACACATACACACTTATGTAAACAATCGACACACACCACACAACCAAACTTACCACGCACATACGCACAAGTGTACACGAACACACACACATAATCACAAGATTCAACGAAAAGCAAAAGGCCAACGCCCGCTCTGTACGTTCTTGTTGCTGAATGGTTATTATTATTATTAATGTTGTTCTTGTTGTTGTGTTGTGTTCTTCATTAACGCTTCTTATAATAATGAATGCAATTAACACTAGCGAGTTGTTCAACAAAGTTGCTAGCCTGTTATTCTAAAAATTTACTACACCTGTTGAATCTCGCCATTCTTCGTGATAGGTTTTAAAACGTAGGCATTCATCTTGCGATTTGAGTATAACATACAAGACCATCAGAAGCAGTGCTTACTTAAAATTAGTTTTCAATGTATAACATAATGCAAAGAAATACGAGATACATAAGGCAGACGCAGAAGATG